ACTAACAACCAAGAAGATATTCTAATCAACCTTGATTCTGACTGTTCTCCTTTACAGTCTTTCAAAGTTAGTTAGAGTTGTTTAAAAGAATGAAAAAAAAAATCAATATAAGCTGTGTTATTTATAAAACTCATTTACTTGACTGTAGTTGTTTAGGGTGGGGGAGGGGGATGTTTGTTGAGGACAAAGCAGACGTAAAGGGATTCAACTTATGAGAGAAATAAAATAATGTGGCAGGAAGAGCTGTAATATTAATGCTGTCTTATGAAAACTCCAGGTTTCATATTTAAAATCTAACTGTATTCCAGACTGGTATGCTTTTTGTAATATAAAACTGTGGGCAGAGATATTAAGTTCATTTATAGAACATAGCTATATCTCGTGCTGTGTAAAACAAATCAAAACAAAGAAATGCAATTGCAATATTTGTTGAAAACTGAGATAAGCCCACATTTTTTCTAACTCTTCTCCTTTAACGCCATCATCACAATTTCCTCATTACTTTCTGTTAGGCATACACTTTTGTCAGGTGAAATCTATGTCAAAATTCTATATTAAGGACAACTTCAAATGTGCCTTTAGTATCTCTGCTTCTTTTTCTATGTCTGTTTTCTTCTTTCTCTTTGACCCCTAGTCGGCCTTGGCAGATGGCCGCTCACACTGACCCTGGTTCTGCTGGAGGTTTCTTCCTGTTAAAATAGAGTTTTTCCTCTCCACTGTTGTTACAAACATGCTTAGTGTGACGGACTGCCTTCTAGTCAATGAGTCGATGCAATCGGCTGGTTTTCCTTAGATAGAAAACTTTGAACCGATCTGACTGTATGATCTAGTTGAATTGTCTCTGTAAAGTGCTTTGAGGTGACATGCTGTGAATATGCGCTATATAAATAAACTCAAATGAATTGGGAGCCCATTCAACTGTGCAGTTCTGTTGTTTAATGGATTTCCCTTCAAATATAATCAAGAAAAAACAAAGACACATTGTGTTTTTTTTTTGTGATTGTGAAATTGAACCCATTAATGCTGTTGATGATACAGTAACTCAGGAGGAGCTGCAGAGATTTGCAGCTCAGGTAGCTGAAGTTGTTCACAGGACAACAAGTTGGTTTCTCCCCATACCAGGGATTGAAACAAGGCTGGCAGCAACAAACAGTTTGTTACAGAAACTTCTTTAAGATGTTCATTTTAAATGTTTCTTTTAGAATCTTGTATTCTTTTTTGTAATAAATCCTCACATTTCGGAAAGTCACACTTCCTACTGTTAGAGATTCATTTAAAAGAAAAAAAATGGTGAGGAGGTATTTTTTCCCCCCTTTATATCCAATTAGGGTACATTTTATTTCTCTGTGCTACTTATTTAATCTCTGCTAGTATGAAACCTGTTTTAGCCCATTACATTCCATTAGACCTTCTACAATAATCAATACTGATAAAAATAAAAAAAGTTATTCAGTCATAGAGATTCCTGTAATGTTAGTTTATTTAGCTTGATTAAAGCCGCCCCCATTCAAGGGAAATTCTTATCTGCTGCTCATTTGTCCTTGACTGGTTAGTTGTGCAAACTTTGCTCTGTTGCATGTTGGCTGAACTCTCAGTTGTGCTTCAAACCTAAGGATCTTCACAGTACAAAGGAGCACTTTGTCCTAATTTGAAAAAAACTTGTTAGTTTTAGTTGTTATGTGTCGCTTTCAATGATTTATTTGAATCATCACTCAATGCATGTAGTGAAATATTTATTAACCTGCTGTAACACTGCAGCTTTTCAGACTACTTGTCTGATGAATATTGATGTTGATGCATGAGCAGCGCTATAGGTTCCATAATCCTGATTGTTTTTAATCCTGTCCATGCTTGCACCCTCGAGGTGCTGGGCTGAGTGTCATCCAACTGTTTTACACTGGTGACGCACACCTTTGTTTGTGTAGCTGTGACGTGCGGCGCTGACTGCAGTCGTACGATCAATACTGACACACAAATGTGAGTTCGAGGGTTGCATTTCTTTGTGTGCAAGCACCTCTGCTAATCCAAGTACCAAAGTAGGGCAGACTTTGCTTTTCTTTTAATGATTTGTGGAGAATACCGGAATCAGCGAGAGATTGAAATGCTCAGAAAAAACATCACATTTTTATTTATGCAAAATTTTCACATATTTAGGTGCTCTCATAGTGTCTTCTATGTATGGGATTGAAATAACCATTTAAATTAGGATAATAATCTTTGCTTGTTCGGTTCTGTGTCACAGGAGGTGCCTTCTTCTCGTCACCTTCAGTGCAGCTTTTTAGCACCTTGTGTCCAGTAGAAAATAGCTCTTTAGCTCTCCAGGTTATCTATAAGTAGCTGCTCCAGATTACCTGTAACTATTAATTCCCTGAGATTAACCACCTCACAGGCACCTGTGGTGCGACTGCTGGTCACGTTTTTAGGAAAATCTTTACTTACTTCACTTTTTAAATGGTGAGCTTGAAAAAAAAGCAATGGGAATATTCATGTCAGCTCTAAAAGCTGCTGTTGTTGTTCCATTCGGCCAAAATTTTCTGTCCCTGGATATAAAAATAGTTGAATCTCTGCAGTCACTTTGAAGCCCCTCAGATCCCTGAAACCGTACACCCATCAAATTAGTTTTTATATGATTCAGGAGTGGTTAACATTAGAAATGTGACAGTAATAACATGTGTTTAGTGACACCTAAAGCTAAGGCTAGCTGTAATCCACTACTTGTAACTCTAATTCAAATCTTGAATGAGCTTCCATTCACAACCTTCTCATGTCTGAGACAAGCCTTTTGCTCATAATCATTCTTCAGCGTTGTTTCATTCCACTAAATGTTCTATTAAAATGCCTTAATACAACACTTTCTTATTCGTCAGCTTGTTATTATTCAGCAATGCCATTCTGTAGCGTCCTTTTGAACAGTGTCAAAGATACCAGTTTCTAAATTGCTCCTATGTAATGTAATCTGAAGGGCTCAGCATGCTAAACTTAATCATTCAAATTCATTTAAACACAATTTTGTACAGTAATATAGCATGGATTTTTAAAAGATTAAATCTGAAGTAAATTAGCTAATAGATTAAATCTATATAACATGTGACACATTTATGATGTCTGTTTCTTTCAGATGTACAAGAAAAATGTGATAGTAGAAGAGTTTTGCACTGCTCTGTTTAAATGAAACATATTTATTTCCTAACTTGTATTAGTTAATAAGCGCCTTAACATTATTATATTCTTTTGTGTCTTTGTAATAGCAATTCAGTGACTAAAATTGCTCTTTTTTTTCAGATGTCCAACAAAGAAATCATTCTGCATGTATTTTTGCATGCAGAATTTTGCCCCCCTTGCAACTAATTTCTGGGTTAGTTTTCAGGTCCTATTACTATTCTGGGCTTTCATGAGTCTTTTATGATTAGAGCTTGTCTCCCCCTAGTGGCATGCTCTTTTTCCAGCGGCATACTTGTGAAACATGAATACACAAGCTTGATGAAGTTTGAAGATTTTTTTTTTTTTCATGAATAATTGGTTAAAATATAAATCACCAGTGCAGATTACAATTTAAATTTGTGCAAAGTTAGACGCTCACTTCACCCAGATGATGAAAGTTTTATAGCATAAAGCAATTAGATAAGAATTTCCCCCTCAGCTGGGACGACACTTCTTGAATTCAAATGTGCCTAGAGGTTTTCTAAAGGGCTTTGAGGATGGATTCGTCCTCCCAGGACTTTTCTTTTTCTTATCTTGCATTTTAAATACATTTGAAAGCTAGAAGTTTGAAATGTGGTGAATTGAGAGCTGATGCTGGATCCTTGGTGCAAAGTCCTAAAGGGAAGGAGTTCAGAAGTGTAATGGGCAGGTTTGTGCCTGTGCCTGATTTCTCTGTAGATAAGGCTAGTTGGCCAGAACAATGTACATAGTCAAGACTGTCTTTCTGATAAGGCAACTGGGCAAAACTAGGTAACAGTACGTGTGTGTTCTTTTGTATGTACATCGATAAACATACCCACCTACAAGCATAGACGATGAAGATAGGGGAGAAGTGAGACAAGGCATCAATGTTAGTGCTATCCATGCATGATGTCTCCTTTTCATTTTTTGTCTTTAAAAATATATTTCATTCAAAAATACTTTATTAATACAAAAGGGAAATTCAATAATGTCATAATATCTTTAGAAAAGACATAAACTTGAGAAAAAAAACTACTTATAACCCTTTGCATCATTGTGATGTGGGAAGAAATTAATAACCTGTTAAGACCTGTTAGACATGTCAGTAATAAATGTATAAAACATCTTAAAGCAGGATTACAGTATAAAAAAAATCCAAGCATTTCATAGATTAAATGTTCTATTTCAGGTAACCGAACCTCAAACAATCGTCTAGGACATCTGATACACTAGGAATGGATGGAAATATGGGAAAGAATCGCATGATAACTGTGAAAATCGTGGTGATATGTAGCTCAGGGAAAAACTGTTAACAGGTCAACTATGTGTTTAGTTCCTTTGCTCCTGGTCTGGAATAAACTCCCAGAAAAATTAAAGTATATAGAACATTGCTGTTGATTCCCTGAAACAAGAAATTATGTTTTTGCTTATACCAGATTTAATCAAACAATCTAATGTAAATAAACTGTTTAAAAAGTTTGTTTCTTAAATCCATTTAATATCTGTATTTTGACCTATTTCTTTATTCAAGGCTTTTTCATTTATGCTTTTGTTATTGTCTTTCTCTTTCCTTTGATGTTCTTGAAAGCCAACTAGCCCTGCCTGTAGTCCTGGAGTCTATATATCTGGTCATTGTGGAAGAGTATGCATTTATTAGATTTGCCCAGACCCTAAATAAACTGGATTTTTTTTTTATTTGCAAGACATTAAGTTAAGTCTTGCAGCGATATTCTATCTGTTCTTCACACTTTTTATTATTGTATTGAAAAGAACCCTTTTATATATATAAGTGCAACATTCCACACTTATGTGACCTGTATGTTTCTTTTGTTTGGCAGAAGATGACGTCGACTTAGAGGCACTGGTGAATGATATGAACTCGTCGCTGGAGAGTCTGTACTCCACCTGCAGTGGCCAGCAGACAGAGATAACACCACTACTGCACAATGGGCAGAACTCTTATTCACAGCATCACCACAACCATCATCATCATCACCACCATCATCATAACACCCATCACAGCCAACAAAGGCATCACCACTCCTCTCAGGTGCTGAGCCACGTCTCCCCAGAGCCTCACTCCTCCTCTTCGAATGTGGAACCCCCTCAGACTAAGCTGAGACGCTCACAGCCCATGCACATCCTAGCCGTCAGGTTAGTCGGGTACCTTAACTCTTCATGTATTCTCAAGAATCTGCATTTTATGTTTAACTTATAAACTTCTGAAAAGCTTTTGAAAGTTAACCCATAGTTTTACACCTCTCAGCTGCAGGAATTCAATAGGCAGTAATGGTAGATCTAAAGATGTTCCCCAAGCTTCCTGAACAAGCATTGTTTAGCTTGTACACTTCTGAGGAAAAATAATCCCCAAAATCTTATGCAGATGTGATTTCTTTTGTTTTGGGCGCTTTAATTCTAGTTTTTATTTAATTACCATTTCCTCTTCAAGGATATGTTGAGCTAGTAATGTTTTGAAAACATCTTTATCTAAGTTCTTTTTCTTATCTGTAAGAAAAGGACAATTGATAAAGGATTTTCCTTGTCCATTGTCAGAGATTAAAAGTCAGCACAGATGATGGTTGATCGATGAACCTCATTTATTTGTTATTCTTAGACCTTATTTAGCATATTAGTGGTTTTACAAATGGAATTGATATGCTATATAATATATGCTATAATGATATTAAACATTTCAGCCCTAACAGATGTGGAACTGAGTGTCTTGAAATTTGCCTATTTAGCACAATCCTTTGAAAGTTACCATATCACTTTGTAAGTAACCTAAAGTAACCTTCTCCTCCATCCTATAGGAACTACAGGGCATAATTGATAGAAAGTACTTATTTTAGACTGGTACAAACCAGGACCAGAATCAGGTTCAGAATTGTCAGTCAATTGAAATGTCTTGCTTGCAGAAAGCACAAATAGTCAGGCACTGATGCTGTTGGCAATTAAAACCTGTTGTGTGAAAGAAGAAAAACAAAGTGAAAAAGAAGAAAGCATAAAGAGGAAATTTAAAAATGTGTTCTATTCCTCTTTATAAGGGCCACAGCACCCGAACTGACATGTTTAACTTGAACCAGACAGGATGTTATCCTAGCCTTGAGAGTAGACAGAATGTCTACCTATCTGTTGTAAGATGGGAGCTGATTCAGCAAAAGATGAGCCTGATTACTAAAAACTGTTCATTTGATTTTCCTCAGTATGAGCGTCAAATGCTCTATCAGGAATGTAAAGAACTTAGAGTTACTTAGGATAAGATAGAGCTTCGTCATCCATAACTTCATAAAGTAATTATGACCAAGGACCCCCCTAAAGATAAACTGAGACTGGAGAAATTTGATCTCTCCTTCTAGATATCATTGCAAACCCTTCTGGACATTTTTGGCTTTTATGCATTAGATGTAACACAGTGTACACCACACACTTACTCTCTTCAAATAGATTTATATATTTGTATGTGACTGATGCAGATTTGAAGAAAAATCAGAAGTGCCCCAAGCCAGCAAACTAAGCGATTACACAGCATGTTTCAAACCATTCCCCATTTTCCCAGTGACACGGAGTCAAAATGTAACTTGCTTCTTCTACAGATACAAAACATATTTGTGCAAACAAATATAATAATTTCATCCTTTGCTATTAATACTATTCTTAGATCTTTTCGAAAGTGTAGTATATATTAACCTCTGCCAAGGAGGTTATGTTTTTTGCCTTTAGTTTGTCTGTTTATCTGTCTGTTCTTTTTCAGGATAACTAAAAACATTATGGACATATTTTAATAACATTCTTATTAGAGATGCACCTCATGCCAAGGAAGATTATAATCTAGATTGAGGAATTTGTAAAAGATGCTCTATTGTTATGAGATATTTGGTGGAACTAGCAGTTCCCCACTAAACCAGAGGGTGGCAGCAGTGACTATTGATAGCTTCAGCATCAAACTCAAAAAGTCCGGAAGTAATTTACTGTAGACAAACCTACAAGAAAAGTGCTCTTGGTTTGTTAGCAGGATCAATTGAAAACCAGGGGTGCACCTTATGCCAGGGAACAATCCATTAAAATTTGGTAATGATCCAAATCATGTGCGAGTTTTAGCTATATGTGTAAGTCAAAATATAGGGGCAAAATGTGCACTCTGAGTGTTTTTCTAGTTTCCTCATAGAAACCTTTAAAATCAGTCAGGTCTGACAGTCCTGGCGTACGAGTTCAAACTGTAACAAACTAAACAATTCATAAACCACCTGAAATTCTTAATAAAATTCTGCAGAATATTTAAACTTTTTTTTTTCATTATCAAATTCCAACTCCCAATGATATACAGAATGAGTCCTACAACAGCTCAACACCTTATTGTAACAAGGTATGAAGCATTCATACTGATTTCTGTTACATAATGGTGCGTAACAGATGCATTGGCTATGCTGGAGACCTTGGGGGGGAATAAGGAGGGAATGCGTTTTTCATGCATCACCAAGGTTTCCTGCTCTATGATGATGATGACTCTATTATGACCGGATTAAAATGCATGCTGGCTTTCATCAGGCCAAGTGAAAGATTCAGAGGGTTGGGTCAAAGCCATAGAAAAGTTCTTACAAAAATGAGGGTGGAACCCTGCCAATCCAAGGCAGGTTGCTTTCCAGCTTCTTTGCATGGACTGTTTATGGTTGATTGGGCGTTTAGAGGGCTGAACATGAAGTGTAGCCTTGTATGTAAACATTGAGGTAAAGTTGTGATTAATATGGCAAACCTCCATTAGAATCACCATTTAGTTAATAAAGTTTTTGTTCTGCCACTCTACAAATAAGACAAGACTGGCCAAGTGCTGAACTGAGGTTCATCTTAATTAAATGTAATCTGTCTTCTCTCAGGATCAGTTAATTTGTCTTTACAATTGTCCTTTTTTACCTAGTTTAGCTGAGCAACTAATGAAAGACTTTTATGTCAGTTTTCTGTAATTTCCTAAGCTGCTTTGTGTACCTCACCTGCTACAGAAATATCATGTGTTGTCCTGTAGATCTGTTACACCATTTATCTGTAATTTGAACCTCATGGCTTTGTTTTGACTGGAAGACCTTAAGACAGAATTAGTGTGCCTTCTTCATGACGTCTAAAGATCTCTCTTAAGCACAAGGGGATTCCTCTGAAGGTTGTCAGATAATGTCTTGGTTGAAAGATCCACGAAACATCCCCTGAGATTTTCATGACTCATGAGAAAACGTAATGAAGGTGGATATGACATTTTAGCAAATTAATACTTCTTATTTTATTATTTTAAAGATTTTATTGTTCAGATTGATTTCATATTGAATGTTAACTTTAGGTTCCTTTACTTAAATGTATACCATTTAAATAATAGATTATGGGGGAAAGGTCAAAGACTTTTTATAGTTGTTTTTTTGTTTTGTTTCACTTTGTACCCAAAATAGGTACGCTAGACAAAACTAATTGACAGATGCACCAAATATAGATTTTAATCCACTTGGAAAAAATAAAAAGTCCCAACAATAGATTAACTTAAAATAAAATACTCAGAACATACAAATGCAGCATAAGCTCCAGATTATGGGAGAGAAAACTAAGAATACATTTCAGCTAAATGGATATGCAGAACCTCTCCTCAGTCTTTTTATTTTTGCATACCTTGTTTTTTGCATTCATACAACTTCAAATAAGACCTTGATGTGAAGTATAATTATTGATTTATACATGAGCTGTGTCACGACCGCACCATGTGACAATGCAAGAGCAGTTAATGTTACACATCTCTGCAGTTAAGCAAGTTTTCTGTATTTTTATATAAACAATGACTACACAAATCTAGCATCTTAAAGTGTCTTTAACATCTTAAAGTTATAATGGAGGACTTTTGCAAATTTCTGTAAGCACATGCATAACCCTGTACCCGCTCCGGGGAGAGGGAACGCCTCATAAACGTGTGCGAAAAGCTTGCACAAGCCCATTTCTCCTTGTGCACACAAGCTTACTTTCCGAAAGAAGATTTGCAGTTTTTTCACTATGTCAGACTCACCTAGCCTCGTGAGACCATCCTGATCTCGCGAGCTTTCAAGATTTCACTCGCTAATCAGTCTGGAGACTCTCCGTTGAAGAAAATTTGGAGCCGTTCACCAAACAAACGTCCAATCAGCGTTGGCTTTGAGGCGGGTTAAGGTGTGACGCAACGAGAAGCGCAACAGTTCAGTCTAAAGAAAATGGCGGCCGATGAAACTAGCGTTAGCGGGGCTATACAGGTGCTGGTCATAAAATTAGAATATCATGAAAAAGTAGATTGATTTCAGTAATTCCATTTAAAAAGTGAAACTTGTATATTATATTCATACATTACATACAAACTCATATATTTCAGATGTTTATTTTGTTTAATTTTGATGATTACAAATGACAACAAATTAAAATCTCAAATTCATCATATCAGAAAATTAGAATATTGTGAAAAGGTTCAAAATTGATGGCCCCTGGTGCCACACTCTAATCAGCTAATTAACTCAAACCACCTGCAAAAGCCTTTAAATGGTCTTTCAGTCTAGTTCTATAGGCTACACAATCATGGGGAAGACTGCTGACTTGACAGTTGTCCAAAAGACGACCATCGACACCTTGCACAAGGAGGGCAAGACACAAAAGGTCATCGCTAAAGAGGCTGGCTGTTCACAGAGCTCAGTGTCCAAGCACATTAATAGAGAGGCGAAGGGAAGGAAAAGATGTGGTCGAAAAAAGTGTACAAGCAAGAGAGATAACCGCACCCTGGAGAGGATTGTGAAACAAAACCCATTAAAAAATGTGGGGGAGATTCACAAAGAGTGGACTGCAGCTGGAGTGAGTGCTTCAAGAACCACCACACACAGACGTATGAAAGACATGGGTTTCTGCTGTCGCATTCCTTGTGTCAAGCCACTCTCGAACCACAGACAGCGTCAGAAGCGTCTTGCCTGGGCTAAAGAGAAACAGGACTGGACTGCTGGTGAGTGGTCCAAAGTCATGTTCTCTGATGAAAGTAAATTTTGCATTTCCTTTGGAAATCAAGGTCCCAGAGTCTGGAGGAAAAGAAGAGAGGCACTTCATCCACGTTGCTTGAAGTCCAGTGTAAAGTTTCCACAGTCAGTGATGGTTTGGGGTGCCATGTCATCTGCTGGTGTTGGTCCATTGTGTTTTCTGAGGTCCAGGGTCAACGCAGCCACATACCAGGAAGTTTTAGAGCACTTCATGCTTCCTGCAGCTGACCAACTTTTTGGAGATGCAGATTTCATTTTCCAACAGGACTTGGCACCTGCACACAGTGCCAAAGCTACCAGTACCTGGTTGAAGGACCATGGTATCCCTGTTCTTAATTGGCCAGCAAACTCTCCTGACCTTAACCCCATAGAAAATCTATGGGGTATTGTGAAGAAGAAGATGCAATACACCAGACCCAACAATTCAGAAGAGCTAAAAGCCACTATTAGAGCAACCTGGGCTATCATAACACCTGAGCAGTGCCACAGACTGATCGACTCCATGCCACGCCGCATTGCTGCAGTAATACAGGCCAAAGGAGGCCCAACTAAATACTGAGTGCTGTACATGCTCATACTTTTCATGTTCATACTTTTCAGTTGGCCAACATTTCTATAAATCCTTTGTTTTTATTGGTCTTCAGTAATATTCTAATTTTCTGATATGATGAATTTGAGATTTTCATTTGTTGTCATTTGTAATCATCAAAATTAAACAAAATAAACATCTGAAATATATGAGTTTGTATGTAATGTATGAATATAATATACAAGTTTCACTTTTTAAATGGAATTACTGAAATCAATCTACTTTTTCATGATATTCTAATTTTATGACCAGCACCTGTAGAGCAAGTTTTATCGGAATTACACTGTATTTCTTCACTGAAAGAAGAGCAAAACACTGCTCTGGGGGCTTTTCACAGAGGAAAGGATGTTTTTGCTCTTCTCCCGACTGGTTTCGGCAAGAGTTTGATCTATCAATTGGCTCCTCTTCGTCGTTGCTCTGTTACGTCATAGGCTTCGTTGATCTGATTGGTTTATTTGGCCCGTCTATCACCAACATAGCCAATCAGCTAACCAGTATTTTCGCCCCTTCCCAAAATTACTTCTACGGAAGGTTTCCAGATAGATATGCGGAGCAAATCCATCTGGCGGAGTCAGGTTAAGACTCACCATCAGTAAGTGAAAATTGGGATGAACACGTTGGACCACTTATTTTGATGATTCACCTGGAAAAATAAGTTTTTGTAATAATGCAAAAAAGAATTGAAATTTGTTTTTTGTCAAGCAAAGCTGCTCTTCTATAATGACCAGATATACAGACTCCAGGACTATAGGCAGGGCTAGTTGGCTTTCAAGAACATCAAAGGAAAGAGAAAGACAATAACAAAAGCATAAATGTAAAAGCCTTGTTGATATAATTTTGTTTTCAACTGTTGAATAATAGATGAGCAGCTTCAGAGTTCTATAGTTGTTTAATTCCAACACTCAATGGAAATTACATTTTTTTAAAACTTAATTTGCATCGGCCTTAGGTTGTTGCTTTATAACTGCATGACTCATTTATAATGACGAGTTAACTTCATCTCCTATCAAATATCTACAGCACAGAATATTATAAAAATATTAATGACATTTTCATTACAGGAGCATCTCATTCCAAAAGTTAAAATTGTATTCATTAGACTCAGTCTGTTGGTACAAGGAAGTGATACCTTGACGCTCTAATTATTAGTAAACATTTCTATCGAGTAAAGGTTGTAGAAAAGGAATTGACTATTTTTTGGACGCAAAGGATTTGTGGGATTTATGTGAGATTCAGCCACTGTCTTGACACTGTAGTAGTGTTCTCCTAAAGAACTGTGCCTAAAAGCAGAAAAAGAAAGAGACATTGACCCAAAATGTTTAAACTTTCCAGCACATAATGAGGCAGAAATGCATACAGAAATGTAAAAATGAAAAGCAGAAATAACTGCTTAGCGTTGAAGAAATATATAGGGTAAAAAAAATACAAAGGAAGAATAAAACAGACAAAAATATTATATCCTGCACATAAATAAATACTTTAAAAAATAATTAATAAATAAATAAAGTTGAAGATTATAATGGACAATAAATAAATAAGGTATTTATTACAAAGGCGAATAAATAAATAAATAATTTTTGTCTCACTGTATAATTTTATTTCTACTTACATGGATTTCTTTATTGTATTTTTGGAGGCAATTAACTGTATGCTTATTCATTTATTGAGCATTTATTTATTTCTGTATTTATTTTTAATTGTATTTCTGTATTTCTCCAATTATGCTTCATATTCACTTTCATTTGCTACCAACATATTTCCGTTTGGCTCCTGTAGAGCTTTGCTGCTCTATAAATTCCAAAAATAAGCTTATAAGCTTGATAAACTGACACCACAGATTGGAATTTTAAGGTGTACTTCCTTGCTTAAAACCATCTTAAGACTACCATTTGTGACAAAGTATTTCAAAGTACATTTGTACACTCAGCATTTTCAGTTACTGCTGCTGGCACAAAGCGGTAAACACAACCCTTTCTTCATCAGTCATGGGGAATGCTTTCGAAATCACTACCAAAGTTTTGGGAAAGTGGCAAAACTGGCTTTGAAAGGCAATGAAAAAGCCCCTTATATCAAAAGAATATGGGGTACCATTTCTGTTAGGGATTTACACATTTAGCACTAGAGTATAACACAGTGAAGATATCATAGGACTGCATAGCTAGAAGGACAAAGAAGAGAAAAAGTAGTCTTACAAACTTCAAGCCTAAACTGCTTTCAGCATCTTTTTATTCATGCATAGCCATGCACATAAGTATATCTCAAACCCTTTTTTCCCTGCTCATTTAGGCATACATTTTTCTCTGCACGCTATCACCCTTTCACTCCCTTTTTTTTATAATTGGGTATAACATTTCTTCCCTGTTTCTAGCCTGTAACCTGTAAATGACCCGTTCTTCCTTGTCACTCCTTTTTTTTTGCCTCAGTCTACACCAGCAGAGGGATAAGGTAAAAAAAAACAAAAAAAACAACTCATTTTGTTTGAGTCCTCCTGAGGTGTGTGCATTTGAAAGTAGCTATTCTTACACACATGCAGGCTGCAGAACTCTTAACTCCCCGCATACATTAGACACAAACTGGTTCAAAGCGAAGCTTGTGTCAGTTCCTATTTTTCGCTCTCGGACAATATGAGGGAAACAGAGCTGGATGATCAGGTAATGGAGTATTCTTTCTTATGAGTGCTCTCTCTCTCTCTCCCTCACCCACACCTACACATGCATGCTTCGGAGTTCCTATTATACTGGACCGACCTCTGGATAACCCTACTCTCAAGCTCATATGGGACAACATCAAAAGGCCTGGTCCCTTTTGAACTCGCTGGGTTCTATAGACAAAGAGAGAAAAGGCTTTCAAAATGTTTTTTTTATTTTTCAACGTCCGATCAGAAATTTTACTGACTGACCCGCTGATTTAAAAAAAAAGAAAAAAGAAAAATCCCATCTGTCAATCCCTTTGAGGCTCACACTGCATCTGTTTTATTCAAAATTCTACTTTAGTGTGATGTCTTGATTTAGAATTGATGTGTGATAAATATTTAAGATATAAGTGCGCAGGCTGTGGGAGGCTGTGATTTCCACTTGCTTTGGGACTGTTCATTATGGCCAGATCAGACAGAAAAACAAATGAGGCTGTATGCTGCAGTGGGTCTCTCCAGCACTAATTTCCCATGTTTTAGCAGCTCTTTTGAAACTTTTCTCTTTTTACTTTTTTTTCGATCCACATCCAGATCATAGTTTGGGCTTTAGGTTGATGCTGTTGCTTAAATGACAAGCAAAACACTGCTAACTTCTCAAAGACAGACTCTGACATCAAGGTCTCTGTTTACTGTTGTTTAGGAAGCTTCAAGAGGAGGAGCAGCAGTTCAGGACGTCATCTCTCCCAGCCATCCCAAACCCTTTCCCTGAGCTCTGCAGCCCAGCAGGCTCCCCGGTCCTCAGCCCTGGGTCACTACCTCCTGGAGAGCCATCTTCAGGCAAACATGTGAGTCAGACATCATACAATATGCTGTTATGTTTAGCTGCATTAACTAAACATAACAGGGCCTCCTATATATCAGGATTTTGTTTTTTGGGGGGGGGTCATCCAAAAATAAACCCCAAAATGATATGAGTGCAGTTCCATTTCAATAAGGTATAGACTTTAATCTAATGTTTTTTGTGTTTGCTTTTTTGTGAAAAACCTTGCAATGTGTAGTAACTGCAGCTCAACTTTTGAAGATTTCATTTCTCAGAGTGCCATTTTAAGATATTTACATCACTTTGAACTTCTTTAGTTTGTCCCATTAACACAAATTACAATCTTTAGTAGTATTTCATGATGCATTAACACAAAATAGTGTATTACTTTGAAGGGATATTGTGTAAAAATGACTGTCATCTGGGTGTGAAATGGGGATGTTTGAAGTCAACCCAACCTTATACCTTCACTGGCTCAAACATGCACTGCGGAAACGGTAGCTGACGTGTGTCAAAAAGCCTCGACAACGCAGATTTAACCATGTCATCCAAAGTGAATTAATTTTCTGTACACCCATGTACACCTGTAAACCTATGATTCTGTAAAGGATTGGTCTGTTTGCAGAATCAGCACAGTCTAATTAAACCAAATGGAAAGAGTTAGCTTTGCATTAAATTAGGCGGTAGAGTTCATGTACTTTGTCAAGGAAAAACATTTTAACATCCCTTTTAAAATATATTTTTATTAGCTCCTTCAACTTAGAGAAAGCTTTATGGAGGATGCTTATCCTCGTTTAACGATATCTTAATTTACGTTGTCTTTTAAGTTCTATTTTTTGCTTTCTTTTGGATGGTCCAACCATTTCTCATTCTTCGGTTTTATATTCTTACCTGACAGGCATTGCAGTTCATCTGGTTTTCTACTGTTTTAGCTCGTCTGCTTGAACATTTTGTACAATCATAGATGTTGTTCTGTACACCTGAGTTTTAATGAGTTCTTATTTGAGCTTGTAGGTAATCTGTAGCAACTTGTTTTTTGCATTAGTAGATGCATAAATGCAACATACTGCTGTCATTTTGGTTTTTTATCACAGCAAGCAGTAAAGCTGTGCCAAATAAAGTGTAAGTGTGTATAGTGGGTCACTTGATCTTTTTTTTTTTTTTTATTATTTTGTATTTTTTCTTAGTGGAAAACCTAAAGAAGTGGGGTGTTTATTGCACATGCGTACCTGCACATGTCTGCATAGGCTGCTGTCCTATCTGTTACGGGAAGTCGGATCTCCCCACCCCCATTTGCACCGTTAATGGTCTTCACATGAAAGCAGCCAATTCTGGTTACGGCAATATAGCGGTTTACAGTAATACCAGGGCAGACAGTTTCTCATAAATACTCCCCCTGGCTGGGATCTGGGGCTTTTCTTTTCAAGGCTTCCACTACTGCAACCAAATACCAAACTACAGTTCCAGTTAGTTCATTTCAAGCCAAAACACAAGTCTGACTCTAACATGCACAACTCTTTCCCTCTCAGATGTCATCTCAGTTTTTTACTCTGGATTGATGAGCACACTTTATCCACCAAAGAACTCAAACTTGGAGAGTTTTAGGTTTATTAGAAGCTCTAAGTTGTGTTGTGTCTTTTTAGTAGGATTTTTTTGTAGATATTTTTTTTTTTTTTTTGTCTTTAGGGATTTTTTAATCTTTAATTACAGACTCTGGTACAAAATCCACTGCTCAGGTTGTTCTTATGGTAAATAGGTCAAAGTTTATTGTAGTACAAAGTTGTTGTGAATTTAATGACTTGCTGTGCCCCGGTTGTAAATAAGTAAAACAGGCTAGGCTTGTAAATAATTAGACGCCAGTTTATGGTAGCTTGTGGCTCAGGATTGAGAATGTCATTCTCACATGGCCTGTTAGTAGCATAGTAAAAACTAGGGACTGAAGCGGATAAACAAAGGAGCTGGGGAATTACCAGCAGAGGTAACTGATAGACAAAATTTTACAGTAGTCACTCTAGATTATTATTAATGGCGTATCTCAGGGATGGATACGAAGTTATAAAAATTACCACTTTTGTTATTGGGATCTTGTAGAGATTGGAAAAAACTTAAAATATCCAGTCAAATTTCGTTCTTTTTTCATTGGTCTCTGATTTATATCAATGCATATTTAAATTTAACTTTTAACTACAGTATATATGACAGCCTCTAATCGATATTGACAAGAAGGTGTAAGCATGTGACTCCCTAACTTCCATTTTTTAAATTTTTTTTATTTTAGTTATGTGTTTATTTTCTAGAAATGAATATTTGTGCCAGTTTGTTTTTTCAGGTTTTTGGGGGTTTTATACTTCTTAAAAGTGCTGATCCATTCCAAGTGTGTGAAACCCTAAAGAGATTTTTTTGTGTATGTTGCTTCCCAACTACAACCTAGCTCCAGCTTACAAATGCAGCTCAACTTTTATAGCATTCTCATATTTCTATAAAGCTTTTCTTTTTTCAATCTTTAATATTATGTAGTTTAAGGAAATATTAAAATAACCTCTTTCCATTTCTGCCCATTTTTTTTTTTTTTTTTTAAAGTAAAATGTGTTTTCAAGCCAAAAAAAATAAATAAATCATGCCTCAATATCTTAATTTAGTTAAAGTTCAGGTACGTGCCACACTTTTTATGTGTGTTTTTAAGTCATTCAGGGTTGGTCTTTTCTGTGAGCTTCAGATTATTTTCCTCACTTTTTAACCCAACTCAAATTGAGCTTAATACACTAATGTTTTGAGCTTCCCTTTCAGTATTTCCTGTTAGATAGAAGAATTCAAGGTACGTTCAGTGATGGAAAGTCATTACAGCCCTGAAATGGCAATGCATATTCAGATAATCACCAGGCTACCAACATGTGTAAATCTCAGTTTACTATTATTTTATGCTGTGCTACTTTTACTTCAGATCGAAAGGGATGGAATCTTTTCTAAACAACTACTTCTATCATGTGAGTCAACTGAAAATATGCCAAAAAAAATAAATAAATCATGAAATCTTTTCACTTTCTGTCTAAATGATCCATTCGATTCTATAAATCAGGCAGTAATAAGGTAAGGGAGACTGATACAGCTACTGCCCTCTGTAAAGCCGTATATATTTGCATTCTGCAGGTGATGTTTCTCAAAATTACTGCTATGATAATGCTATGGGGTTTATTTTCTGTTTTAATGTAACTTATTCATGGTTTTGCTCATAACATACTTTAGGGCAATATAATTCCACACCAACAAAACTTACAGAATAAGTTTTATTTTTTTTTTCATTCTCATTATTTATTTTTTATCTTAATTCTTTTCTTCTGTTTCATCCCTAGCCGATAGATTATTGTAAAGAGCAACTCTAGCTCCTTTAGTAGAAGCTCCTTGAATTTAACAACTACCCAGCCGAAGCCATTCACATACATACTGGCTTTAAGTCTAAAACTTGTTCTGCAGTTTGAACATTATTTGTTGGGTATATTGGTTACAAGATCTCTTAACAACAACTCAACAACTGTTATTGATTTCTAAGCTTGATTAAGAAATCCAAAATCGTTTGAGAATGCCTGGTTGATACTTGGGATTAGATTAAGAAACAGCAACTTTCCGCCGTAGTGATTAATCTCGATTAATCCAATACAATTTTGATTTGACTGACATCACTTACTTTTTTAGTTATGATAAAACCAAAAATGCCACAGAAGCATGAAGAAAAAGTCTTTCACTATGTGATGAAATATCTTCAAACACTTTAGAATCCATATATCTGAGGATGATGAACTTTCTCCTTTTTTTTTATTTCCCAACTACCACAGAAGAACAATGCTGTTAAAAAAAAAAAAACCTGATGGAATTTGTAATTGATTGTTTGTGTTTATAATGCATATGGACCGTATACCAACTCATGTAAACTGATGTGAGAGTGCCTACACATCCATCCATGCAATCGGGTGTTAGTCGTTTCGACACATGTGTGTTTACACTTGCTAGCCCCTCAGTGAGCTCTGCAAACTATTTACAGCACTGGCAGGGTCTCTCTATTGTTGATTGCAATGGAAAGTATGGCTCATTGTAGCTGTTCTGTGGAAATCCAGCTCAGCACCTTTTTCCACGAAGGACTCTTGCACATTGCCTGCTCACACCTGAATCTTTAAGGAGATAAAAAGAAGAAAAAAAAAAAAAGTAACCCTTACTTTCCAGTGGTTAGAATCCATAAAGGAGATGATGATTTGTTTTAGGTTTGACAAGAGGGATCTGGCGAAGGTAAATTATTGTACCCCCTCTCCAAGACCTCTGACCTTTATCATTAGAACCACATGTGCCCTATTTAGTCCCACTTTTTTCCCCTTCCGCTTATCTCCTTTGCTTCATCTTGGTCTCTTTTTTTTCTCTGTTCTGTGTCTTTCCGTCTTGCAGCCCTCCAAATATCCATGCCAAATTGCTTTTCAGTTTCTCTGTTTAAGTTTACTGAATTTTCCAACCTCCCGGCGCTTTCTGACAGACTCTCATGCTTGTCTCTCTCTGCTCCTCCTCGCCTCATTCTCTGGCCTGTGTTAGGGAGACATGAGGATGTAGTGCAGGGCTGTCAGGAATCGTTGGCCAAGCTGTTTGACGCGACCATATGATTCCCAGTTACCAACCCCCACCCCTGTCTTTCCTCATCGCTCAGCCTTCATCTCCCCAGCTTGGCTTTTTCACGTTACACTCTGGGAGGACGGTATTTCTCCAAGGTCTGTAGGATATGAGCGTCACCCTTACAGTAGAAGTTTTTTTTCTTTTCTTCAAATGTACACTTAGGGAAATATGCTGCAGTTTACTTCAATGTTATAACTAGAGAATTTTGCAGAACACTGACCTGGGTTGCTGCAATTTGTTAGAACTAATTGCAGTCCATTGTTATAATTTGAAAAGATTCTCATACATGTTATTTAATTACTTTCTTTCACTCTGCTTAGGACCACTACAACATCACTAAAGCTTCATATCATGCTCTATTTTAATGAAATATTA